CTTTCCAATTCATAGGACAGTCTTTAGTCTCCTAGTTTAGTAGGAAGCAAAACTCTATTGCACTTTCCACTACTGAAGCTGAGTATATTTCCTTAATAAGTTGTGTGGCCCAAGTCCTTTGGTTGAAGTAGCAAGTTCTGGATTTAGGATTACCTGTAGGCACAATTTGTATCTTTTGTGACAATACCAGTGCCATCTACATTTTTAGGAATCCTATTTAACATTCAAGGACCAAACACATAGACATAAGGCATCTCTTTATTAGAGACCATTTGACCAAAAGTGACATTGAGTTATACCATGTGGCAACTGAGAATTAACTGGTTGATATCTTTACTAAACCAGTGGCCTTCGAAACTTTTAGCACTTTAAGAACTAGATTGGTTATGATTGACATAAATGCATGATCCTGATTTTTACTAATTTTTATTCTTTTTCTATTTAACGCTTGCTAATGTTTATCTTTTTTATTTGTTTTTATTTGTTTCTTTATTACTCTTTTAATCATCACTAAATTGATATCTTTTGTCGTGTTTTATTTTTGAAAATTTGTAGTCAATGATTAACATCTCTAAATTAGTTAAAGGGGAAAACATTGTTGATTGTTTATAACTCTAACTTCTTTTAGTGGTGTAATTTTCTTTTTTAAATAAAAATCTATCTCAAATTAACAACTAGTCTTTGAAATTGAGACCTTTTCAATCTTACTACAATAATCTATTATATATATATAATATTCAAAGTCTTTATTTTACCTTCAGATTTTTGTAATCTTATCATTAAAATTATCATATGATTTTTTATTCTGTTGTGTGATTCATTAATCCTTATATTAGAGAGAGAGTCGTGCTTCTCTAATATCTAGAAGATATAATCACAACTGGGAATATTTAAGAATTTTGGAATAGTGATCTAGCTTGCATAAAAATAAATGAAAAACAAAAAGTGGCCAATTATGTCAAAATTAAAAGATGCATAATGATGCCAAATTGAAATATATATATATATATAAAGTGTATCAAAAATTAAAAAATGCGTAAAGGGGGCTAATCAAATTTACGATAAGCATAAAATGGGCCCCAAAAGCAAGCTTATTTTCTTTCAAATTTTTTAAATCTTAGAAAAATTCAGGTGTCACTTGATATTTTTCAAAGGCTTGATTTTGAATTTATAATCATAACTAATTACTTTGATATATTATTCTACAAAATATATTTTTGAAAACAAGTCTTGAATAAATATCTTTTTCTTATCCAATTGTCTTTTTTATTTAGATTCTTATTTTTAAAAGACGGTTTACCCTGGAAGAAGTCTGAGTTAGGGCTAACAGGATCGGTTGTTCTACTATTTTTTGTTTTTTGATGGTGTTAACTCATTGATTTTTAAAAAAATTTTCAATTCAATCACATGGAGAATTTATCGCATTCAAGGCTTGTTTAAAAAAAATGGTTTGTTTCTCTTTTGTTCTTTTTGATGTTTTTTTTTTCTTTTTCATATTTTATTTTTATCCCTTTTTAGTTAATTTTCGTGTTTTTGGGCCTTCTCTGATCATCCCCATCCATCCTTTGATTTAAAACATTTTGCCACATCGTCTAGGATATTATTAATATCGTCCTGAATGGTCTGTTCAATTCACACTTCATACACCATCTCATGGTTGTTTTGACTTTTCTGCTTATAATCATCCTAAACGGTCCACTATCATCATGAATGATATGATTTTCTTTTGTTTCAATTATTTTTGATCGTCCTGGATGATTCTCCTCATCCTGTACAATCTTCATAATCTTTGCTCAATTTTGGGAAATTGGCCCGTACGATCCACTTGTTCGTCCTGGATGATACATGTGGCAATATATTTAAATCCCTTTAAATTCGGCCAGTACGATCAATTATTGATGATCGTCCTGGATGATCCACCTGTTCGTCCTAGACGATACATATGGCAATGCTTTAAACATTTTTAAATTTGGCCGGTACGATCCATTATTGTGAATCATCCTAGACAATCCACCTAATTGACCAGGATGATCTTCTTTTTCAACGGTCATCCAGCTTAACATCTTGGGATGATCGCATGTGTCTTATCATCCCGGATGATATCTGATCATCCTGGACAATACGACTGATTTTTTGACCAATCAGCCTAGACGCAATTAGTGTACCCAATCGGCCTGGACGACTCCGCGATCATCCTACACAATCAGGATGATTATTTTTAAATCGAGCCTTTCAGACATTTTCTTCTCACTCAAACCTTCTTAAATCCTCTTATGTTCTTACTCTTGTGCTCTTTTTTCTGATAATGGCTGATAGAAAAAGATATTTCCATCCTTTTGGGAGTTCCTCGAGGGCGTTTGTACAACTATGCAGTTCCAACTTTTACTTTTCTTATATTATAGAAGTTTGCAATATAATTTTGCTTATCGAAGAGGATATAATGCGGTGGAAGATATTGATCATGTAACAACTACTTGCGTGAAGCTGACTGAAGTTATCCATATCATAAATAGTTGGGGATTTGGAATACCTTCATTTGAGAATTTTGAAGAATGTTATCGATGGTTAAGCCAATGTTCAATTGGTAATTTGTTCTTAAGTAAGTTGTTCTGTAATTCTATTTATTTATCTTGGAAAGTAAGGAATAAGTTTATTCATGAAGGTAGTGTAGAGAGCACGATGATGATTATTGTTTTTTTTTGAAGAAATGCAAATTGCATTAAAATAAAAAGAAACCAAAAAAACTTAGATACAAACTAGAGAGTCACATTCTTCCTTCACCAATTGAGTAAAAGGTTTAGGAAGATCACTCTCACTAGACAAATCCCAAAGGAAATTATAAGAAAAAGCTCAATTGGCACAATAATCAACCAACTTATTACAATTTCTAGGAACAAAATGGAAAATAACATTATTCCAATCACTAAAAATCAATGAATCTTTATCTTGAATGCTCCCACCATGTTCCCTTGGTTTGCTATACAACTTGTGAAGAAACTGGATCACATTCATGTTGTCTCCCTCTATAATTATGCCTTTAACATCTTTCCAATTTTCCTTTAACACATCCTTTAGAACTTTGAAAGCCAATAACTCAATCTGTGTTTTGTCCTAATGAACTCCACTGTAGCCAAATGCTATAATAAATCTGCCTCTGCTGTCTCGAACGATTACTCCAATATCAGCCCTATAATTCTCTTTAATAGAAGCATCAATATTTACTTTATTCCACTCAGGAGTAGGAGGATGCCAAGAATTTGTAGACAGTTCAAAAGACCGATTGATACCCTAGTGATTTGATAGGATATCTTTGTGTGCTGTGTTTACAAAACCGAGAACCTTAGCAGCTATCAAAATAGCACTATCACCTGTTTTTCCATGCTTGACCTTGTTCCTTTGATTCCAAGATAACCATCAAATAGTTACATATAATCTCACCATCATAGTATTTGTCCCAGATAACTCTTCCAGCTCCTCTACACATTCTTTAAAACAAGTAAACTTCGATACTTTGAATCTCCATATCTTCAAAACATCAATCATGTTAATCAGCTTACAGAAAGTAGTTGTAATATGGTCACTGTCTTCAACACTTTCATAACCTCTTGTGCATAAATTACTATTAGCAATCCTCCTTTTCACTAGAAAATCTCCTGTAGGAAAAACATTCTTACAAATACGCCACCAAAAATTCAACCCAGGCATTCAGCTTTAGTTTTTGAATCCATGAAACCGAATCTGATTTCACTTCATCCTTCCAGCCATCTTCAATAAGCATTGAAGAAATAGATATGCCACTCAATTTCTTCTTTAACTCCAAAACGTCTTCATCATAATTTTGAAAAATCTTGATACTGCATATCAAGCAAACCATATCTTTTCCAAAATATAAAGTAATTTTGTCATAATCCCATCTTCCTTCTTGAATGAAATGATCAAGAGTTACATTATCTTCTAGAAATGTTGCAACAAATGTTGGCCATTTAAGCAAACATTTGTCCAATATCCATACATCTCTTAAAACTTTGATTTTTGAACTCTTCACAACATTCCATCTGACAAAACTCTTAAGAGCCTTCCATCCACTTTTAATGATCTTCCAAGTATTAGATCCGATCTTCAAATCTTCATTGCTCCTTTCCCCATATTTTTCCAACAAATTTCTATTCAACAAAGTAGAAATCCTCTCCAACAAACCCCAAGCAAATTTGGCCCTCAATGTCACTGTCCTGGATCTAGTAGAAAAAACCCCCCATCCTCATAGAGCTTTCGGTTTACACATTGTATCCCAAGCCACATAATGCAGGACGTGACTCCCATCATGCTTATTCCAAATGAAATTTCTGCAATACTTATCCTATTCCTTTAGTATACTCCTAAGGACTATGGAGTTAGTCACATTGTATCCTAAGGCCTTGGCTTCATGATGAGAAGATTTTCACCAACACCAATCTTCCAGCCATGAAATGAAACTATTGCCCCAAGAATTCAACTTATTCAATGACTTATCTAATAAAAATTGGAAATCAGATTTTCTAAACCTCCTTAATGCCAATTTAGATCCCAAGTAATCCATCTCCTCCACACTCTTAATCCCCAAAAGCCTGCGAATTTTTTTCTTCCTTCTCCTCATAATCATTTTGCCACAAACCATATCACATTTTTGTAGATTAATAGTTTGACCAGTCCACTTAAAATAGTCCTTTAAAATGCTCTTCAACTTTTTGATATTCTTCACTTTAGAATCAGAAAAAAATAGGATATCATCTGCATAAAGCAATTAAGAGATTGTTTGGGCTCTAGGAGAAATCTTAATACCCAATTCCATCCCTTTATCATAGAAAGCATTAGAAATCAATTATGATTAAATGATGAATAAGAACGGAGATAAAGGACATCCCTAACGGAGATAAAGGACATCCCTGACGGAAACCACATTTTCCCACTATCCATCTAGATATATCATCATTAAACAAAATAGCAAACCTTGGTTCCAAAATTCATTCCATCACCAAACTAGCAAACTTCACCGGAAAGCCTATAACATCCATCATCTTCCTAAGAGTAGTCCAGCACATACTGTCATAGGCTTGCTCCAAGTCTAACTTGATAGCCATAAATCCATTACTTGCTTTAGAAATCCTGATTTTGTTGAAGACTTTTTGAGCTAGCAACACATGCTCCGAAATAGATCTTCCTTTCACAAAAGCTACCTATTCTTCCAAAATGATTTTAGGCATAACCATAGTCAATATATTTTATAGCACTTTAGCCACTATTTTATAGATGGAATTACACAGGCTAATTGGACGGAAGGCCAAAGGAGTCACTGGATTGTTGGTTTTACGAATAAGCACCACAAATGTATCCTTCCATTCCTTACACATCGTGCCTGAAAGAAAGAACCTCTTCACTTCTCTGCAAACATCCTCTCCAATAATATTCCAATAAAACTTGAAAAAAGAGTAAGTCATACCATCACAAACAAGAGCTTTGTTGTTTCCCAAAATCCTTACCACATTCACAATTTTTGTATTGGAGAGATCAGCATCTAACCAGTTCCTATCTGCATCATCTAAGTCATCATTGGTCTCAGCCAATTCTCCCTCCAGCACTCCCTTTTCTTCCATTTGCTTTGGAAAACCCTGTAAAAAACATCCTCCATTTCCTTTGGCTCCTTTGTAAGAACCCCATATGAGTTTTTAATTTGAGAAACCCAATAACCATTTTTCCTAGCATTAGGAAATGCATGGAAAAATTTTGTATTTGAATCTCCATCTTCAATCCATTTCACTTTGGCTCTTTGCTTCCACCAAGTATTCAACCGGCAATAATTAGCATTTAACTCTTTAATCTTTCCTCTAAGCAACCAAATCTTCTCATCATGAAGCCATCCTTCTCTTGCTTCTTCCTCTTGAAGTTGAAGGATTTCCAATTTCAATCTTTCATTATCTTTAGACAGATCCTTGAATTTTGCTTTGCTCCAATAGAACAAGTTTGTTAAAGCTCTTCTACATTTTTTGTTCAAAACTTCCATCTCATCCCCCCTGAAATCCTTCTTCCACACCTTAACAATGATGTACGTAGAAGCTTTAAAAGTAGTCCACACATCTTCAAAATTTGAGGGAACCCTTAGCATTCTTGTTTGAATCAAATATCTTCAATATAATTATACAGTGATCTGAAGCCTCTCTAGCAATGTGTCTAACCACAACTACCTAAATGGAATTAAAGGCCAAAGTGTTGAGTAAACACCTATCCAACCTCTCAAGAATCCTCCCTCCCCCAATCTTATTTTTGCACCAAGTGTACCTTGGTCCAACAATCCCTACATCATGGAGGTCATTTTCATTCATGAAATTAAGCATATCCTTTGGACCTTGAGTGAACACAAACTTCCCACCACCCTTCTTATCTCGTTGAGGTAATATATAATTAAAATCCCCACCAACAATAGAAGCAACTTTCCTATGGGAAACCTCAGGAATGCAGTCACATACCAACCTTCTTTTATGTACCTCCTTACTCCCTTAAACTGTTGAGATCATCCACACTCCTTTGTTAAAGACGTTTAGATCCCCAATCACACATTGATCTAACAACTTCAAAACTAAAAAAGAAGTCAAATCTGATCTCCATAAGATCATAAGGTAACCTGACAATCCAACTGACGCCTGAAAAAAACAATCCCAATTTGGTCCCAAAATCTTCTCCAAATCTACTTTGTCAAAAGTGTTGATTTTTGTTTCCACCAATCCCACAAATAAAATACTAAAGTCTTTAATAAATTACTTGAGATATAGAGAGGCTTCCTTTTTCTTTGCCCCTCTTTAATCCCAAAAAGCTATGGAACTCATTGGAACCCTTAAGGGGATGAACCCCCATCCCTTCTCTTACTACCAGTCTCCACATTTCTCCCTCGAGGAGCATTTTTAATTGGTCCTAAAGATTTCAACTCTTTAGCAAGCTTCACTTTGGATAACTCCCCCACTTTATCAATCTCCTTAACCTCCCCAAAACAAGATTTTTCACTATATTTACTACCACCACCACCAACATCCTTTTCCTTCCCATCACCATAAGCCAAAACAATTTCTTCATTAACAGCACATACATTGTTCCTTAAATCATCCACTTCATCTCCCTCAGTGTTCTCATTCATTAAATTGAAAATACCAAATTTATTTACACCCATTATCAAATTTGAATTATCATGAATTCAGACCATACCAGAATCACCACCCGAATTCTTCAAATCTTCAGTAATCTTCTTACTATTTTCTTCAGTGCCCGCAGCAACCGGGTCTTCCAAGACTTGCTCCTTATCTCCAATAATTTCCCGCTCTTCGATTTGATCAATTGGAACATTTAAACTACTCTGTTTCAACTCCCCTGAGTCTGTACAGTCTACAACACTCTGCAAAATTATATCTTCATTTTTCTCTTGAACCGGCTTTTCTTGCTTCTTAACAAACTTCATGTTGTAAGGTTTAACAATATTCTTTTTCTGCATCAACCACTTGTTCCTTCTATTATGAACAAGGATTAAGGGACCATAGGAAGACTCTATAGCTGCATATTTCCTTAATACATCATCTAGACTTACTCCTCCATTACTAACAGCTCCATCCAGTTTACTATTGGTAGGAATACCACTTTTGCATTCATTCTTTACATGCCCGGTCATACCACACTCAAAACAGAAAGTTGATATTTTCTCATACTCAACTTTTTGAAAAAACATTCCTGCAATACTTTCCACCCATACTCCTAAAGGAAGACACTTGTCTAGCTTCATCCTTACACATACCCTTGCATACTCCCTCCTCCCCCATTGGAACATGTTTCCATCCAACATTAATGGTGTGCCAATCATTGATGCAATTCTAGCCACATTCACCTCATCCCAACAATGCAACGGTAAATGAGGTAGTCTTATCCATATTGGGGAAGTCATCCCCTTCATGGACAAAGGCTAAAACACTATAGACCACTTCTCCATACCAACTATATGCCCATTCACGAACCAAGGCCCTCCTGAAAGAACTCCTTCAACCATCTCCTAGGAATCAAATTAGCATAAAAACCATCCCCTTCCAATTGAAGTGAAATGAAAATGCCCAAATTGACTCCATTGTCTTCTAATTTTCCATGCCCCACATATGAATGTATTTCCTTCCCAAATACTTTAATTACTAATGAATTATTTAACTTGTTAGAATTTAAAATTTCCATGTCTTCACACAGTCTAACTGTAGCCCAATCCTCAGATAAAACTCTATCTTCTTCTTTAAAATTCAACATGAGATAAGGTTTCTTGCTCCAAGGATTAATATCCACTGCATTAATGGGTTTAGTAGGCAATTCATCAATCGCATTGCCTACATTAATTTCCAGCTTTCCTCCCACCATAGAATCATTCTCATGAAGACTTTTGTTAACCGAAATAGGTGAATTCGCATTTATCACATTGTGTTCAGGGATTGCATTTGAATTACCAAATCTATTAACAAAAATTTTCATTCCAGAGGACGAAGTAGCTAGATCATTGTAATTCAAAACCATAGAACTTTTAACCACATGAGGAGTCACGCATTCCACATTTTCAGAAATACCCTTACCTTTTCCATCCACATGAAGGACCTTCTTAGTAGAAACCTCAGCAACATCTTTAATCACCAATGCTCCATTCTGATTCCTATTCATCTCATTGTCATCACCTTGCCTGATTCCAAAAATCCTCTGATTCCCCGCCAGAATTTGATTTTTGGAAGATGTAATCGATGACAACCTGGTCGTCAACATCAACGATGTCCGGTGGCCATCAGTAGCCATCTTACCCACTAGCCTCCTGAAGAATAGGATCCAACCACCAGATGATTATTGTTCAAGCTGTATCTAGTTCTTTGTTTTCTTCATCTTTTGGTGATATAAGCTCGGGCCACTTGGGTGTTCATAAGTCATTTAGAATGTTAAATCGTTGGCACCGTTCTCCACCTGAATGGATTAAGGTGAACATTGATACTTCATTATTATCTTCATAAAAGTCTGGTATTGGTGTGGTATTCCAAGATAGTCAAAGTAAATTTCGGATGGCTTTAAAAAAAAAGTGTGTCCATTTGAATATTTCTCAGCTTGAGCTTTCACCAATTCATTTGTTAAGAGACGTTGTCAAGGAATGGATGTTGTTGTACAAGGGGATTATCATCAAAAGTGATAATTCAAATATTATCTAGTTTCTTGGACAAGATTTAATGAAGGGTCGACAGTTGATGGAAAGTTTTATTTTTTTTAAAGAGTTCAATCTTGTTATTTCAATTGTATTGATAGAAATAGTAATAAGTTAACAGATATTTATGCTAATTGTGCGATCTTTATTGATTTTCTTTGGGAAGGCATTAGCTTTAATAAGGTTCCTCCTTCTTTTCTTACTTTGTTAAAGGAGGAACTGGTTGGGAATAATTCCTAGGTTGTATTTGGTTTACTTTTTTAGTTAATGGAATGATCCTTGTTGCTTCTTCAAAAAAAAAAAAAAGATAACTATTTTTAACATGAGAATCAACAACTCTAGTTTAGATTTATAATTAGAGTTTAGTAATATTAATTGGATCAAAAAAGATCCTAACTATTGTAATTTTGATTTAAAGACACCATAAAACCTTTGTTTGATTTTTAGTTAACACTAAATTTTTAATAATTTTTTAAGTTTGGATTTTCTAAAAAAATTAGGTAGCATAACATCACTAACCCATAAGAAAACTACAGAAGCCGTTGATCATAGACTCCTCAATCCTTTTGATTGGCTTATGTGTTAAGCTACTGTATGGTATAAAAAGTAAAAAAATAGATGTATGTGTACATGTTCTGGTAAATGTGTTAATTTATATGGTACACTACTAGATCATCATAGAACTAACATACATTTTCCTAGAAATTTTAGAACATGTACACAAAAAGAAACCTATGAAAATGGCTACCCTGTAATGAAAATGTAAGACCTATTTGAATGCAATGCATATAATATAAACTAGTTTATGAAAGAGTAGTGTGAAAGAAATAAGTTTATTACTTTTTTTTTTAGGTTAAAACCCACAGAGGGGCCTACGCGTTAATATAAAAAATAGGTTACAGAGTCCTTAAGGAAACCATCAGCTCACTACTGCTCAAACGAGCTACAAAAAAAAAAAGAAAACCTAAGAGCCAATTATCTCCGCAATCAAAAAGTACAAGGAAACCTAGTAACATTCTACTGATGCTATAGAGAAGCATTCAAAAAAGAAAGATCAGAAGATAGAAATAATGCTCAGTCTTTCTGTCAAAAATGAAGTCAGTCCTGATCAGCTTCTTCTGCAAAAAAGAGGAACAAGAAACAGGACAACTACAACAAAAGGAAATATTAGCAAAATAAATTTAAGCAAAGAAGTACAAAAGGAAATAATTGATAAGAATGACCCAAATGAAACCAGTCTCTAAAATCAGATCATAAGGTTTTAGAGTATAACCAGTCCACTCCATCCTACTAGAAGTATTCCAGCAGCAAAAATAATATGTCTTACTATCAAAATAAAGGTTAGATAGATAGGAATTATTGATATTCAAGATAGCTACAAACAGAGAAATAAAGGAAGGAAAGAGGACAACAAAACAACAATCAGCAAAGCCAGTCATAGGAAGATGACTAGAAGAGCTCCGTAAACTATCATGAAAATAAGCCTCATTAGGACAAACCACAAGTCGCTCAATCCTACACAAGCTACTAGCCAAAATCAATATAGAAAGGGTCCTCCAGCACATCCAAGAAAAACCATTAGAACAGTCCAGGATATACAGAAACAACCCCACAATAAACCACCACACAACCCATAAAACAGATAAGGAAAAGAACTAAGCTTTAGAAACATTAACCAAATTGTCAGAGGTCCCCCCAACAGAACAGATAAAACTAAAATGGTTCGGAATATCCAGATTTCTAGAGAAGATAAAATATAGCCAGTGGTACTTCAACATCCAACCATTAGTGTCAATATGCCAATCCATAACCACCTCATTACTTTCAACACCCCAAAAGGTAGGAGAGCAACAATGGGTCATACCTTCAGCTTTAATGCCCGTAGAATCATTACACCAGTCACCAACCAG